CTCCAAAATAGATCATATCCTAGGGCACAAAGCAAGCCTCAGCAAATATAAGAAAATAGAAATTATACTGTGCATAATATCTGGTCACAATGCAGTAAAACTAGAACTCAACAACAAAAGTAAAGGCAAAAAACATGCAAAGAGCTGGAAACTAAATAACTCATTACTTAATGAACAATGGGTCATTGATGAAATAAAAGAGGAAATTAAAAAGTTCCTGGAAGTCAATGAAAATGAAAACACAACCTGCCAGAACCTATGGGACACAGCAAAGGCAGTCCTGAGAGGAAAGTTTATAGCCATGAGTGCATATATTAAAAATACTGAAAGATCCCAAATCAATGACCTAATGATATATCTCAAACTCCTAGAAAAACAAGAACAAGCAAATCCCAAAACAAATAGGAGAGAAATAATAAAAATAAGAGCTGAAATCAACAAAATAGAAACCAAAAAAACCATACAAAGAATTAATGAAACAAAAAGTTGGTTCTTTGAAAAAATAAACAAGATCGGTAGACCCCTGGCAAACCTGACTAAAATGAGGAGAGAAAAAACCCAAATTAGTAGAATCAGGAATGCAAAAGGGTAGATAACAACAAACACCATGGAAGTCCAGGAAATCATCAGAGACTACTTTGAGAACCTATATTCAAATAAATTTGAAAATCTTAAAGAAATGGACAGATTTCTAGATACATATGATCATCCAAAACGGAATCAAGAGGAAATTAATCACCTGAATAGATCTGTAACACAAAATGAAATTGAAGCAGCAATCAAGAGTCTCCCCAAAATGAAAATCAAGGACCTGATGGATTCTCTGCTGAATTCTATCAGACCTTTAAAGAAGAACTGATACCAACCCTCATTAAACTGTTCCACGAAATAGAAAGGGAAGGAAAACTGGCTAACACATTTTATGAAGCCAGTATTACACTTATCCCAAAACCAGGCAAAGACACCTCCAAAAAGGAGAACTATAGGCCAATCTCCTTAATGAACATTGATGCAAAAATCCTCAACAAAATAATGGCAAACTGAATTCAACAACACATCAAAAAGATTATTCACCATGACCAAACTATATTACATAGCAGTAACAATAAAAACAGCATGGTACTGGCACAATAACAGACATGAAGACCAGTGGAACAGAATAGAGGACCCAGATATGATGCCACACAACTATAACCAACTTGTCTTTGACAAAGGAGCTAAAAATATACGATGGAGAAATAGCAGCCTCTTCAACAAAAACTGCTGGGAAAACTGGTTAGCAGTCTGCAAAAAACTGAAACTAGATCCATGTGTATCACCCTATACCAAGATTAACTCAAAATGGATCAAGGATCTTAATATCAGACCACAAACTCTAAAGTTGATACAGGAAAGAGTAGGAAATACTCTGGAGTTAGTAGGTATAGGTAAGAACTTTCTCAACGAAACCCCAGCAGCACAGCAACTAAGAGATAGCACAGATAAATGGGACTTCATAAAACTAAAAAGTTACTGTTTATCGAAAGAAATGGTCTCTAAACTGAAGAGAACACCCAAAGAGTGGGGGAAAATATTTGCCAGCTACACATCAGATAAAGGACTGATAACCAGAATATATAGGGAACTTAAAAAACTAAATTCTCCCAAAACTAATGAACCAATAAAGAAATGGGCAAGTGAACTAAACAGAACTTTCTCAAAAGAAGAAATTCAAATGGCCAAAAAACACATGAAAAAATGCTCACCATCTCTAGCAATAAAGGAAATGCAAATTAAAACCACGCTAAGATTCCACCTCACCCCTGTTAGAATAGCCATCATCAGCAACACCACCACCAACAGGTGTTGGTGAGGATTCAGGGAAAAAGGAACCCTCTTACACTGTTGGTGGGAATGTAAACTAGTACAACCACTCTGGAAAAAAATTTGGAAGGCTACTTAAAAAGCTAGACATTGATCTACCATTTGATCCAGCAATACCACTCTTGGGGATATACCCAAAAGACTGTGACACAGGTTACTCCAGAGGCACCTGCACACCCATGTTTATTGCGGCACTATTCACAATAGCCAAGTTATGGAAACAGCCAAGATGCCCCACTACTGATGAATGGATTAAGAAAATGTGGTATCTATACACAATGGAATTTTATGCAGCCATGAAGAAGAACGAAATGTTATCATTTGCTGGTAAATGGATGGAATTGGAGAACATCATTCTGAGTGAGGTTAGCTTGGCCCAAAAGACCAAAAATTGTATGTTCTCCCTCATATGTGGACATTAGATCAAGGGCAAACACAACAAGGGGATTGGACTTTGAGCACATGATAAAAGCGAGAGCACACAAGGGAGGGGTGAGGATAGGTAAGACACCTAAAAAATTAGCTAGCATTTGTTGCCCTTAATGCAGAGAAACTAAAGCAGATACCTTAAAAGCAACTGAGGCCAATCGGAGAAGTGGACCAGGAACTAGAGAAAAGTTTAGATCAAGAGGTTAATTCTAAAGAATTAACCTAGAAGGTAACACACACGCACAGGAAATCAATGTGGTGAGTTAAAGCCCTCTATAGCTATCCTTATCTCAACCAGCAAAAACCCTTGTTCCTTCCTGTTATTGCTTATACTCTCTCTTCAACAAAATTACAGATAAGGGCAAAATAGTTTCTGCCGGGTATTGAGGGGGTGGGGGGGAGAGGGAGGGGGAGGAGTGGGTGGTAAGGGAGCAGGTGAGTCAGGGGGGAGAAATGACCCAAGCGTTGTATGCACAAATGAATAATAAAACAATTTAAAAAAAAAGAAGAGACACAAATTAAAAAAAACTTTAGAGAAGAATCACAATGGTGGATATAAAAGTCTTAGAACAGTCATGGTTAGAATTTTGAAAAACAGTTTAGCAATTGAGCCCTCCTTATTTTTTTTTTTTAATGTATGGTTGACTTTATTCGTCCGATTTTTGACCCATTTAGGTAAAACCATCCCATTCACCTTTGTTGAGCGTGTTATCTCCTTTTCTTTTTTTTTTATTATTTTATTATTCATATGTGCATACAAGGCTTGGGTCATTTCTCCCCCCTGCCCCCACCCCCTCCCTTACCACCCACTCTGCCCCCTCCTTCTCCCCCCCTCAATACCCAGCAGAAACTATTTTGCCCTTATCTCTAATTTTGTTGTAGAGAGAGTATAAGCCATAATAGGAAGGAACAAGGGTTTTTGCTGGTTGAGATAAGGATAGCTATACAGGGAGTTGACTCACATTAATTTCCTGTGCATGTGTGTTACCTTCTAGGTTAATTCTTTTTGATCTAACCTTTTCTCTAGTTCCTGGTCCCATTTTCCTATTGGCCTCTATTGCTTTTAAGGTATCTGCTTTAGTTTCTCTGCGTTAAGGGCAACAAATGGTAGCTAGTTTTTTAGGTGTCTTACCTATCCTCACCCCTCCCTTGTGCTTGAGCCCTCCTTATGATCTTCTCAAAGATACATAATGTATATCTATATATACATCTTGTCAATAGGTTATTTTTATATATAAATCCCGATTTTATTCTGTCTTTTAAATAAAGGAGAATGTACTTTTTTGCAGATGTACACTCTAGGTGACCAATGCCTGATCTTTTAACTTATTTCAGTGGCACTGCTTGGAGTTATAGTGTCTGGGCATGTCTAATTACCTTTGCTTACAGATAACAGCTTGATGCAATCAGGAACACAAGTCTGAAAATGCTAGCACTACTACCAAATTCAGTTTGGAGGACAGTAGTTTGATAAAGTGTTCTCCTATACATTGCACTTTGGATTTCTATACTCAGGGAACATAAATACATTTAGCATATAAAGGAGCCAGCAAGAATTAGAATCAAAATCACACAGAAGTCCTTTATTTATTAATTTAGCCTCTATTGAAGCAAAATTTAGAGTATTTGGTGTGGTAGGATAATAAGTGCTGACAAAAATCAAAGCCTTAGATTTCTTAAGTGTAGGAGAAAGTGATAGTGACCACTGGTAGACTTATTTCCTGATACACAAGTGTATCTCATATATACAATAATAAAATATGCATTTCATCAAAGCAATAGATGTAAACCATGTTTTGAACAGCAGAACTGCCAAATGTCAGGATTTTTTGTATCTGAATGGTAGCAGAAATGAAAATATTTATGTGTTGAAGGTTCAGACGCAGTGCATGTTGCATCAGGAATCATCTAATTACATTATTTTCCTCCACGTTTCACTCTGACCTGCTTCTTCCCAAGACACCTTTCCCTTACCTCTGTCCTCTTAAGACTTCTGGATGCCTTTCCATGCCCTGCCCATTTGCCTCTCCTGTAGGAAGTCTCTCCCCTCCCCTCCATGAGAATAGATCCCTGCCACTCTGTGCTCCCTGTTTTTGGCTGGAGCCCACTGCTGAACTAACCATGGTGTTCTATGTCAGTCACACTGCTATGCTAAGTGCCAGTTCCTCCTGATCAGAGAATCCTGGAGAGCAGTAGGGACTCCTCCCACCCACTGTAGTATCTATCACATGGACCAGGACAGTAGACATCAGATGACTACATTGTCAGGGTTCCAGAATGTCATGAGTAAATTCAATTTTCCAGACAGTGTTGTGACCATTCTTGATTTAGTCTCTTTCCCTGAGGTGCCCAGAGCCAACTGTAACATTGGCCACAAAGCATTTTCCCAGTGGTTTGTTTGCTTGTCTGCCTCCTAACAGGACTATGAGGTCAGGCAAAGAAGGAATGATGTCTTACGTCTTACACATCCTAGGTGTTTGGTGTCAGGAATAGGGAAGGACTGAGAACTCTGGATCAGTGACTCACTATGTGTCCCGGCCACCCCTCACCTCTGTCTCCCAAAAGGAACTTCTGCCAATCCAGCACTCAATCAGTGGCAAGCTGAGACTCATAGAAGGTCACAAACAGCCCCTGACCACACAGCCCACCCCTTCTATGGTTGGGACCACCTAAGGCCTTCTGCCAACTGACTGTGTGCCTGATCAACCTGCAGCTCCCTCTGCCCTCCAGGGCAAGGCTAGCTGGGAGACCCTGGAGGACTCAAAACCCCCAGCTCACATCTCTCCAAACAGAGCCTCAAGAAGCAAAGACAGGAGGCATGTCAGCATGTGGTCTTTATTCCTGGTTTTCCCCTGAAGAGGACTGGTCATTTTCAGCGTTGGTTCCATCTGAGGAAGAAGAATATCCCAACCAGGCCCCAAAGGCTGAACCAATGGAACCCAGGAGGATGTTGGATGATGTGGAAAGACCAGCTGCCCCTGGGGAGGAGAGAGAGTGAGCACAGTGGGTAACCTGCAGTGACCAGAGGCCCAGAAATCCCTGACATCCCCTTCTGAAGCCCCCAGGGTTCTGCTTTGGACAGAGGATGCTGGAGGTGGCTGAGAGGGAGAACACAGGATGGATTTGTACAAACTGAGATGGAGGAGAGCCAGCCGCAGTCAGACCTACTTTATACAGGAGGCCACTGAGATCCAGAGAAAGGAAGGGACCTGCCTGAGTCACCCAGATATCAGAGTTCGCTAAGGCTGAACCCAGAGCCTAGGCAGGGCGAGGTCTCCTTCTCTCTTCTCCCTACCCAGTGATCCCACACTTCTCCACTCCACCCTAGACCTCACTCAGAATGAGCCAGAAAGGGACAAAGGGACAGAGAAGGGGAGACAAAGGACCAGGGACACCGAGGATCAAGGAACTGCAGAAAGACACTAGAAGCCTCCCTGGGACTTGGCCCATGCCTGGCTCTGGTCCTCCCACCCCAACACTCACCCACTGACTGAAGAGTGGCCACCAGGCTGCCCGCTGCAACTCCACCACCATTGGCAATAGCCGCTGCCGACATCATCTTGGCCGCTATGGAGGAGGCAGCGATTCCTGCCCCAGTGAAGCCCACGGCACCCAGCGCCACAGGCACAGCCCCCACTGCCACAGCTTTGAGAAGAGAAGCTGGGTTGGGTTGGGCTCAGGGGACAGGACCCCTCAGGAATTCCTTCACAGTTTCTGGGGCTATCTGCTCAGAGCATTTGGGAGACAGCAGCTTGGACAGGGATCCCAAGGTAAAGAAGGAGTGAGTGTAGAGCCAGGTGGGGTCCAAGAGGTCCTCTGAGAATCAGGCCCAGGCCTGGTGCTGCCTCTGTCCTGCTGTGTGACTCTGGGGAAGTTGCTATCCTTCACTGGGCCTGAGGTATGTGTCTAATCATGGGGGTGACCTTAACCACTGCTTAGCAGTCCTCCCTCTTTTCCCTCCCCAAGGAGCTGTTCCATTATATGGAAGGAAAGGAGGGGACCCGGTGAGCCTTCCCCTGGTGAGTCCCTCTCTTGCCCTCATGCTTCACCCAGTTTCACCCAGGTGGCTCAGGTAGTGGATGATTACAGTCTGGGTCGTAAACAAGGCCAGCCCAGCTGCACAGCCTGGCAGCATTCCCTGCTCCAGAAAACAAACCTCCTCCGACTGCAGCAAACGCAGCTTGTCCTAGGGAGAGAAAGTGGGTTGATGGAGGGAGCCCTGCTTGGGTGGGGGTGGGGACGCCATGCCTTCCTTCCAGTCTGCCAGCCCCAGGGGGAAGGGGAGACTCACTCCACATGATGAGGTCCTTCTCGCAACTCAGAGAATGAGAAAGCTCTATGGCTTACTTCCTCTTTGCTTTTCTTCTCTGTGAGCCAGTGGGGACACGGCCTGCCCACCCTGGCAAAGTGCCAAAGTACATTAAAGGCTCTCTCCCTCTGCCTGTCTCCACGCCTCCTTCCTTCCAAGCCTTTCTTTCTCTCCCCTTTTCCTTCTCCCCTCCCCTCAATCTCCTCCCTCTCCCTCTCCCTCCCCTTGCTTCCCCCTCTTTCTCCCTCCCTCTCCCTCCCTCCCTCTGCCTCTCTGGGCTAATGGGAGAGAACAATGTGTTTATTAAACGAACTGCTTTAGAAGTATTAGCTCATTTGTCATTGGGTATTGGGTTCTTCTCTCATCACTGCCACCCAAGGTCGCGTTTGTCGCGTGGGCAGCCACCACATGGTGACCAGGGACTTTCCAGTCCACCCTCCCTCTTCCTCTTCCCTCTCTGGTTACCACGGCAACTCGCAGTCGGGCAATAGGTTTCAACCTATCCTATAGGTCCATATTACCCTGAGCCCCTCCTTCACTAGGCCTCAACCTATCCCAGCGTTCTGCAATACCCTAAACTCTTGACTTCACCCAGATCATAAAAAACTGGGCTGCCATTTCTCAGGTGTGACTTCCCCGGCCTTGTTCTTTGGGGACGGTGAACTTGCCAGAGAGCGCGCTCTTAATAAAGCCTGCTTGCTTTGTTATTTGGCTCCCATCCACATCGACCTAACAGTCGCTAAATATGGGGACACAAAGGAAGCATGGAAGGGGTCTAATGGAGTCTCTCTGGCTAGGGCTCCTTCCACCTGGCTGCTGCCTGATTCCAGCTTGTCCTGGATCCTAGGGGACCCAGGGACTGGCATTGTCCCTTCAGGTATTCTGGCTGGAGGAACTGCAAAGGTGAGTCTGGGGACTAAGGGACTGACTGGAAGTCAGGAGGGAGTCACACAATCCAAGAACAAAGGGGTGAAGGGAGAACCTGGGTTGGAGTACAGAAGGGGCCTTAGATGTTATAGAGACAAAGGCCAATGGTGTTCCCAAGCCACAGCCTCAGTTCCAGTTTGGCTCCATCTCAGAGCTCTGGTTTCCTTCTCTGTAAATCAGAGAGGCAGCAGAGATGAACTTATTTTCCTTACTAATATATAGAAATTTATCATATGTTAACTACTTTAATTGATTCTCAGTGTTTAGGAAACATTTAAAGTTCAAAACCAAATAAGCATTTTATTATATTTTTAAAATTTACCTGTGTTTATGGGTTTTTGCTTATTAGACAAATGCAGTACCACTTCTTGGAACTTTGGCTAAAATCAAGTACAGGTAAATGCAATGTGTTTCCAAATTAACAAGAGAAAATTAAATCCAAAGTAAGAGGGAGAAAAGAAATAAAGAACAGAAATAAGTAAAATAGAAATTACAGGAAAACTATAGAAAAAAACAACTTGAGTAGCACAATTTCTGATCAAGTAAAAATGAGAGAAAACAAATTACTGTCTTTAAGAATAAAAAGTTGTCACAACATTGAAAAGTGAATCTTATAAGCAATTTTATTCCATAAACTTGACGATATAGATAAAGTGGAAAAATTCCTTGAGAATTTGAGTCAGCATAGATTAGAGAAAATGAGGCATGTGAAACAGGAGCCAGAAATTCAGAGATAAACCTTGTGCTAGTGACTAGCTTGGTGAAAAGCACACAGCACCACTTGCTTTTTGCTCACTCCCTCACTGAGAAGCAACATAGAGTAAAAATAGCAGCTCTCCCTTTGACTTTGCCCACTTCAAAATGATGACCTCATTCTGGGAAACGAGCAAGAATATCTTAGAGGAAGACACTGATCCTGGGCAAAAACAGTTGATAAAATGACTCCTTTGATCACAGAAGTGATTGCAAAGAAGGAAAAAATTATCTTAAGGACACCTGGCTTAAAAGGTGCATTTGGAGAAACCCCTTTGTTTAAAGGAAAAGACATTTTTTATCACAATGACCCACATTTAGTAAACCGAGCAGACTTGACATCTCTGGGCCTGATAGTACAGTGTAAGAGCAAGAACGATTTCATGTGTCAGAGTCCAGAGCAAGGGGCAAACATTCATCCTTAGGTGAATTTAAGCCAACCCCCGCAACCACATTTTCCCCATAATACTCCCAATGAGGCCCTCAGCATGCCTCTTCTTAGGTGTGCCTGCACCCATGCTTGGGTGTGTACCTTCCTTTTCTTTGCTGAAAAACGTTATTGGTCTCTATTTTCATGTATCCTAAAGTTCTTTTTGCAACAACATCATGAACTTGGAACCCAAGGGCCAGGTAGAGATCTCCTCCTTTTTGGAGACCCCCCTTGGAGCCTTGCCACTTCTGTTTATGTTAAAAAAACTGACAGAAGAATAGAAAATCCCAAGGCCCCATATGTTAAGTAAATTTAACTCATAATTAAAATTATTTCCACAAAGGAAATTCCAGTCCCCTATATCTTTACAGATGAAGCCTATCAGACATTTAGGGAAGAAACACTACCGATCTGTATAAGCTCTTCCAGAAAATGGAGGGGTTAGTATTTCCATCTCATTTCACAAGATAAACAACACCCTGAAGACCAAAACCTGACAAAGTATTTCAGAAAAACTACAGACCCATATCCTCTACAAATATACATGTGTGCATGCAAATATCCTGAACAAAATATTAGCAAATTGAATCTATCAGTGTATAAAAGCGTCTGTCATGACACATTGAGAGGAGGGACACCTAGAGTCTCTGAAGGAGTCTTGGGCTCAGGAGGACAGAGGGTGGCCATAGTGAACTGTCTGGATGCCAGTCTGTCCAAGAATTATCCACACCTGTCCCTGCCCTGGCACCTGTGGAGGGCCTGCCACAGGTTCTGCCGCTGGAGCCACGTGTCTTGCCCAGCTATTTGCCCTCTTGCTCTCTCACCACTCCCAGCTGGACTCACTCAGCCAGGAGGTAAGCCTGCCTCCACCTGGATCTAATTCTAGCCAGAGAAGTAAATAAAAAGGCCATGGTCAGAGTCTATGATCTCCAGAGAATGGTAGGGCTTACTCAACACATGTCGGTGCGCCTGGCTGTCTGTTGAGCTGCATGGAGGCCCAACCCTCACCCCGCCCCAGTCCTGACGCCTGCTTTGTCGAAAGGTGAAGTGGGCCTGGACTTTCTCTGTCCTGAGACTCCCAGAAAACCCAAAGCCTGGTTGGTGGAGACCTTCCCTTGCCTAGAGGCTGGACAATGCCTCCTCCCAGCCTGTCCTGACCTTCCTCTGCCCACCCCAATGGGTCTGTCCCTTTGCCCTTGGCAAAATCCCTGTGTGGCCCAAAGAGGTGGCCACAAAGCTCTCTCCCTTTTCTGGGTCTTGAGTCCAGAATGTGGCTGATAAGCATCTGGCCCAGGTGCTGGGCCTGCTGATGCCCAGGTAGATGGGCAGAGGGCTGGCCCCACTGCAGATAAGCTCTGTTGCTAAGCAGGGCTTAGGGGACAGCTCTTTAAGTCCTGAGACTCCTGTGCTGGCTGTGGTTGCTTGTGGTTGGGAGGGGGTGGGGGATACCTGGGACCTTCTGCGTCTTAAGGGTCTGAATATTCTGACATGTTCTCCAGGTGAGCTTTGTTGACTTCCTGATGCCAGTCCCTCTCGCTGGCACAGTGCACTGCTGGGGTAAGCCCCCCATCTGGTGCTGGGAGGCCCTTCTCTGCCCAGCTCTTTTACCCTCTAAGGTCTTCTGCAGTTCTCCACTCTGGCCGCACCAGGATCACCACAGGAACTAAAGAGCCACCTCTGCCCCACCTGAGTCACTGACTCATCTCCAGGCTGCAGGTTACAAACCCAGCTGGTGATCTCCAGCGCTCACCCCACCCACCAGTGTGATGGGCAGGAGTTGGGGCTGTTCTCCTGACAGCTGGATCAATGTCCTTCCTGGAGGACAATGTGGGCCTATCCTCCTCTACTCCACACCCAGCTGGCTGTGCCCCTCTGCTCTTTCTTCCAAAGCCTGGCATAGGGCATCCATTGGGAGAGGGTTTACTAGCTGGGGTTCAGCTTTGCTAGCCAGGACCACGTGTGTCCCTGGACATGGATGTCTTCAATGGGGGGATCGCTTGCTCTGAGAGGGCTGTGTCTGTGGATCTGTTGCACCCTGCCTGCTCACTGCAGCTCCCCGCCCCCCCCCCCCAGCCCTCAGGTGTTTCTTGCCCACCTTCATCTCTGGGTCTCAATCCTTACCTGTGTTCTTCCCTCTGAATGCTGCCTCCTCATCTTTGTTCTTCTCATCCCTCCTGGCAACTTGCTTAGGGGCCCTCACTGACTCTCACCCTCTGTCTGCCCCAATCTGTTTTCCTCTAGAAGTAGTGTTCCTATCATCCCACCTGGGTCAACAACTCACTAGCCAGAATGTGTCCTGTTCCTTGGTCTCTCCCTTTGGGGACTCTGAGGCAAGTGAGAACATGTGTCCAGATACAAGTTGGACTCGGGCTCCAGCCCAGCCAGGTTCCCTTCAGGGTAGAAAGCCACCATCAGTCCTGGGGAAGGCACTAGTCAGAACCATCGTAACCCTGGCTGTGACTTGGGCTCAGGTGGCCAGAGAGTGGCTCTGAAGGGCCATCCAACCTGCTATTTCTGGTCTTCATCCCCCTGGGGGATAGTCCAGTCTAGTTGTTCCCATGACATTTAGCACTCTGAGGCTCTCCCCGCAGTATCTGTAGGATTTCCAGGGGCTGACTGAAGCCTGCAAGAGTCTTCCTACACTCCTTTCTTCCAGTCTTTTCTATGGTGCCTAAGGGTTCTGAATGGCTGTGACCTTGAACAAACATCAACCTCTCTGAGCCTCAGTTTCCCTAACTGATGGGACAGGAAGACTAGACAGGGGGAACCTTGTCCCTGGGATTGGCTCCAGAAACCCCCTTCTGGGTACAGACCTGACCTCACCTGTTTATGCCCAGCATTCTGGTCACCTCCTTTCTGCTTTGACTTCCCATGATGCCTTGTGGTTCACAGGGTCTGGGCCGACTATACAGTAGGGACCATCATCTCCAGAGCTGCCTCGGGGAACCCTGACCTACCCAGACCTCATGGAGCCTGGGCCTCCAGCCCTATCCAACTCTTCTCCCACCCCCCACCAA